GTTTATAGCATTGGCTTTATTTCAATGCTGATTTTATAAATTGTAAGGCTGCCAGTTTACTTTAATGTTGACTTTATTTTTTAATGTTTCATCTTGAATGTGCATTGGTTAAAGGGCCTGGGCTGAGTGTAGCTTCATTACATAATGCTAATACGGCTTTACTAGCTGTAAGCCGTTACCTGTTGGATGTACTGCATCTGTTGGAAAATAAATAGCTTTTAAAAGGTGAGGGGGGAAGAAAATTAAACAATGTCTTCTGAAAAAAAGTTTGCAGATTATTCAAATTACTCCAAGATTCCTGTTTTGATCATTTGCAAAATCAAAAATAAGGATGCTTCTCAGAACATTCTTCATGTTTAATATTGAAAACTAACTTTAAAATTAGAGTGTAGCAATGACTAAAGATGGTAAGTGCTGGCTGGGTACAGTGCCAGGGCTAGACAGAGAGACATCACCGGATAAGTGTGCTGTGAGTGACGTCCAGGTGCTAGGGAAGCCCCGAGAGGAGGGATCTGTGCTGGGCTTAGGGTGTCCCAGAGGAGCTTTGACAGGTGGGGCAGGCATTGCAGAGGACGGCATGGCTGAGGGAGCTGCGGGTGGATGCCCTCCCTGGAGCTCCAGGTGCCATGGTCAGCCAGCCAGTCAGGTGAAGCCTGCGGCTGCTCCCTGCCCAGTGCTCCCTGCCTCTGTCTGGTGACACACCTGCACAGGGGTCCGTGATGTTGGACAAGGAGGCACGAGGGGCGGGCGTTATAGCACCTGCTGATCTGTCCCTCCTAGAGGGAGGCCTGTAAGAACGTCCCATCCCAGTTACCGTTCATGAAGGCCCCCAGGCTTGAGAGGCAGCCACTGTGGTGCAGCCACATAGGACCTTTTTTTTCCTTTTTTTCTTGCCGGGGTCTCCTTCCAACCTGCTTGTTGTTGAATAGCAGATCGTGAGGCCCGAATTCCATGCTTCTAGAATGCAGTCAACTAGGCTCTGTCTTTTGCTTAGTGCTTAGTTGGGGCCGGCTTCTTGGCACCCATTCTCCAAGAAATGGATGCGAGGCTGTTACATGTGTTGTCTGGTCTGGGTTCCTGCAAACTGTGAAAACCCCCGCAGCTGGAGCTGGGGTCCATCACCTTGATATTTCATATGGCTTTCTCTTTTTAAGCCATCCCCAAATAAATAGAATACCGAAGAATATAAAAACATTTTTCTATCTTTCGACCAGACCCTGAATGCTCAAAACTTAAAAGCAATTTCAATCAATAACCGTTTTATGGCCCTATTTTTCTTCTAAATATTATTAAACGCTTAAGTTATTTTATTAAATTTTCCTTCTTTATGAATGCCAAAGAATCTCATAAGGAATTTCATTTTATTCCAGGAAATTCAAGGTCACACTTATAACACTCCACCGGCTAACTTGTTTATGTCTGAAGTCCTCCTGGACCGGGCTGTCTATGAAAAGGTGTTTGGAGCCGGGCTCGGTGTCTCAGCCTGTAATCCCAGCACTTTGGGAGGCTGAGGTGAGTGTATTGCCTGAGTCTGTGGGTTCGAGACCCGCCTGGGCAACTTGGCGAGACCTCATCTCTACAATAAATCAAAAAATTAGCTGGGCGTGGTAGCGCACACCTGTAGTTCCAACTACTTGGAAGGCTGAGGCGGAAGGATCGCCGGAGCCCAGCGGGTTGAGGCTGCCGTGGCCGGGAGTGGCCACTGCACTCCAGTCTAGGTGACAGAGTGAGACTCCGACTCAAAAAAAAAAGAAAAAAAAGAAAAGGTGTTTGGGAGATCACCAACCCTGCCAAACTGAGCTCCCCCGGAGAGCAGTATCTTCCCCCAGCCTAGGCCTACCTGATCAGTGGTTGCTGACTACATGGATACATTATTAAATGTGCTCTTTTGCTGTGTCTCTGCCATCAGCTGACTAGTCTTACTATCCCAAATGGCAGGAGTCACTGGACGCTGGCAGGGCATAGGGTGCAATCCTAACCAACATGGCTCCTGGGTAGGAGCCCGGGTTTGGAGTGACCAAACGTTCATTTGATTCGGTTTCCACCGGTTCTAGCATTTGTGTCCTTTGACCTTCAGTTTTCTCTCCCCCCAGGTGGGGATAAATATCTGCTTTAAAGTGTGGAAGAAAGGGGGGGGAAGCTATACCTTGTATAAAGCATTAGCACAGCACTCTACAATGTAAAGGCTTGGCTCAGACTCGGAGTGGATTCTTAGTCTTTGAGTGCTTTCTGCACGCCCACGAATCTGGAGGTCTGGACTGTCGCCCGCCCCTTGCCTGAGGCCGTCTACATGTCTCATGTCTGTCTGCCTGACAGGTCACAACCTCCAAGGTCCGTCTCATCCATGGATCCCTTGATCCTCACCAACAGTGTTGCTAGCGTTAAGGGCTACAGTCGTCACTAACAAGCAGGCAGCACTAACTATGTGCTGGACCGGTTGAGAGTTTACTGTGAGTGCTGTAGAGCTGTTAAACTCACTCAGTTTGCATGGCAGTGTCGGGAGGTGTGTGCTGACATTCTACCCAATGGAGGGATGAGGAAACCGAGCCCTGGGGCTTAGTAACTTGTCCACACAGCTCGCAAGTGGTGTTCTCAGTAACAGCAGCAGCAGCTGTTCCAGGCGCTGACTCACACTCTGGCTCCCAGTCCTGCTCATCCTCACCATGTCCCATGGGATAGGTCCTATTTTTACCTCCTTATAGATGTGTGGCCTCAAAGACTGCCTGCCTGCCTTTGCCCACGGTGGGTGTACACCCACAGAGAGCTCTGTCCAAGTTCACTGCTCAGCTATGGTATGAACTGGCTGACTTGTCAATCCCTTTTTCTCAAATTTTGGGCAAACGCTTTGAAATTATACCCCTTTTTCCGTGTTAGTATTAATCCCATGTAAATTATACATTTTTTGCTCTTAAGACTTAACACATTAAAAAAATTTAGGACTGTGTCAAGGAGACAAACATGCATTTCACAGAATGTGGCTTTTATCTTCCGACTAGCCCCGTGTCTACACAGGCAGTAAGCTGCAGGATTGGGTAACTTCTAGGTGATTTAGATATGCCAGTGGGTCAAAAAAACTATGACCAAGAAGCTGGGAAAACCAAAAAAAAAGCTACATGAACGCACTGAAAATGGGTCACTCCTTCAGCAAAGGTAAATGATTTCTTCTTGCCCCGACACTCTGACCTGCCAAGGCAGCTGATGTGGCATCAGGCCCACCCTTTTCCTGGGCTGTCCGAGGGGTCACCCCTGGGTGGCTACTCTGAGACCCCACCGGCTCTGCCTCCCTGGTTGCCATTGCTATTGTTTTCCTTGCGCCCTCTGGCCCCAGCTCCTAATTCTAAGTCGCAGGGTCCACTCGTGTTCTCCGCTTTGGAAGCGTCAACCTTAAAGGAAACTGAGCCACTGTTTCTCAAACCGAGGGAGCGGCCGGAGGAGGAGGTTTCCCTCCTTTTCTGAAAGATCTCTGCACATGTGTGAATCTGTAAAAAAAAACAACCAGATCTGTTTCCACAGTTGAGATCATTCCAGGTGAAAATCAGGAGGTGTGGCATAGCTTTTATTGAAATGTCGCAACCATGCCTCCAATTTCATCACTTGTGCATAACTTTTAGATGTGTTATGGTAGATGCTTATTTTCTGTCAGTTTGCTCCGCACGGATGTGGGGAAGAATTCACAAGTGCCTGGTGTTATCTAGTTTAGCAGAGCCGAGGCTCCCGAGACTCGAGCATAGTGTCTTCTCTGAACACAGCAGTTGTCTTGCAGGGTGTCTGTGACCCAGCAGCTGCACAAGAGGGACACTGGAGTCACCCTGCTGGGGTCTGCAGCCAGCTCTGCATCTTCCTAGCAGTGTGACCTTGGACAGGTTACTCAGCCCTCCTTGAGCCTCAGTTTCCCCGCTGCTAAAATGGGATAATAGTAGACTCTACTTTCCAGGTAGTTGTGAGGATTACATGAGCTAGCGTGCTAAAAATAGTTGCTGGCACACGGTACTGAGCAAGGTTGGCTGTTTTATCTGTCATTTTCCTGTTGGCATCGTCTAAACCCAGATACATGGAAGGTTTATACTGTCACTGTTTGAATCGAATCCTCTGCCAGGTGAAGTAGACCGGCTGTTGCAGAGACTCAGAATATAAAGGCAGGTGTAGCCTGGGAATTCAGAGCCAGTGGGGCTCTGCTGATAACGTGTAGGCTGACAAGGCATTGATTCTCGTAGCCTACATTTTAAAAGAATTATGTATCATTTGTGCGTCGTATCTTTTTTTTTTTTTTTTGAATTGGAGTCTCGCTCCTTTGCCCAAGCTGGAGTACAGTAGCATGCTCACAGCCGTCCCAGCATCGACCTGCTGGTCGCTGGCAATCCTTCCTCCTCAGACTTCCAAGTAGGAACTATAGGAGCGTGCAACTGTGCCCAGCTAATTATTTTTATTTTATTTTATTGTAGAGACGAGGTCTCGAACTCACAGGCTCAGGCAGTCCACTCACCTCAGCCTCCCAAAGTGCTGGGATTACAGGCTGCATTGTATCTTTTCTTAAGGTGGTTCCCTCTAAGACATCAATAGTATCTGTTACATAAGTGGAAAACATTTTGTAGTAATTACGGAGCCATCACTCATGCTTCTCATATTGTTTTATGTCCATCCACAGTCTTAAACTGTATTGAAAAGGATAATATTCCCTTGGTGTTTTTTTTTTAAGATGTGGGATACAATTCCGGATGAGGTATACAAGTGGTCTATGTACAGGTAAAGTTCGGGCCTCCCTTTGGTCCCCACTTCGCCTAGTTTGAGATCAGGTACTCTTATTGATGAGGTGTGCACCCCCCTCCCCTGGCAGTGTCCTGACAATTCATTTCTTACTGTATTATGGCAAATGTTCAGGGTCCGCTTATGAGTGAGAACTCATGTGGTAGTCAGTTCTTTGTTTCTGTGATAAATCACTGAGTATCTCATGCTTCTAATATTAACTGTTTAACTGTGTCTTCCTTGCATCTTGCTTTTAGCCTCTCCAGCAATAACTGTGTTTGATCAGAACGATGGCTTTCAAAGGGTCACTAGCACCCCAGAGAACGCTTTTCACCCTTGTGGTCTTACTCGCCTGTTTGGTAAGTAAACTCCTTATTCATAAAAAATGTAGTGAAAGGATTCATATAAGTGGTAGTGAGGCCACTTTCTGTTTCTGAACTCATATTAGTTTATCTCTTTCCGTTTCTATTTTATCATTTTTGCATTTAATTAATAAATGAAAGATTTCTGCTCAGTCATGCGGTTTATAACAATTGTTGAAATTATTTTATGTAAGTTTGAGGGAAGTTATAAAATTGCAGTATTACTGGTAGCATTATGACAAGGATATTATCTTGGATTTATAGGCATAAATCTCTCATAACACATTATAGGCCCTAACAAGGCCTGAAATTCAACTTTTTTTAAAGAGCTGTTATTTTTATATAGTTATTTATATCCTTCTGGATTCCAAAAGCATAAAGACCGGTGGAAAATTTTAATGTTTGATAGTCTGGCTCACGCCTGTAGTCCCAGCACTTTAGGAGGCTGAGGCAGGAGGATTGCTTGAGCCCAGGAGTTTGAGACCAACCTAGGCAACATAGCAAGACCTCATCTCAAAAAAAAAAAAAAAATTAAGAAATTAGCCGGGTGTGGTGGCGCACGCCTGTAGTCCCAGCTACTCAGGAGGCTGAGGTGGAAGGATCACCTGAGCCCAGAGGTCTAGACTTCAGTGAGCCATGATAGTGCCACTGCACTCCAGCCTGGGTGACAGAGTGAATCTCTGGCTCAAAAAATAAAAATTAAAAAGAAAGACAGTTTGACGAAAGACCTATGCTGGTGTTCAAAAGAATTGAAATTTACTTATTCTAGAGCTATCAAATGATTCACAAATATATAAAGAAGCCCCCAGAATTCTTCGTGGAAGACAGAGTGAGGGGAAATGGGGTCAGCTTGGAGTCTGGGACTCAGGGAGACGAAAGGAAAACGTCCTTTCTGTCTGTTAAAGTTGTTAAAGATTGAACAAATGGTCTGGGAGGGGGGTTGTGGAACTTATTTCTCAAAGATATTAGAATCTCTTTAGGTGAAAGGGAATCTCTACCCCTTGTAAAGAAAAGAAACTCCTCCAAGATTGGGAGGCAAGAGGGAATTAAAGGCAGGAGGAGATTATTAGACCTTTAGCCCCAAAGAACTTTCTCGTCCCGACCCCCATCTGAATTCTTCCTCCTGCGTGTCCTAGAGGTTAAGGCTTTGGCTTTATTCAAAGAGGTTGGCAGATACCTTGACAGATATTTCTGCTTCAAGGTGGAGGTGGTTTGTACAGAATTATTCGCATCAAAAACCACTTCCTTTGCACCTCTGTGTTGGTCATGGACGGAACAGTGGTGTCTGTCCGCCAGTGCTTCCTGAGAGTTTCAGCTTCCATTTAGGAAGATAATTACATTCAGCTAACCAGGGGATTCCTGTTCAGGATAAGAGGCTGGGACCAGGTGTTGGCAGCAATTCTGAGATGCTGTTAATACCAACATTTTAAATGAAATGCTGATATGAAGTAGATAAACATGCTTTAGTAGAGTGATGGCATTTAAGGAGAACTTGTTATTTTTAGAAAAAATAGGAGAGAAAAGTTGTATTTTGGAAAATGACTTACAACCATTGCTTTTGCCAAAGGATATTTTTTTGGTGTCAGTTCTGTGCTATGAACCAGCGTACGTTGCTGGGTCCCGGGCAGTGGCTAATGGCAACAGGTAAGGACAGAAGTCCATATGTAAATGACACTTCTGTTTTGAAGCATTAGGGAGTTTGGCCACTGTTGCCTTCTTCATATCATCATCACGTATTTTGCTGATCTTGCAATTGCTGGATAGCATTTTTTGAAAGATGCCCTCTAAGTAAATGTAGGTCAGCTGGAAAGAGCTGAAACGTCTCCATCAAAATGGCATGGCAAGTTAAGTCTGAAGGATGATTGCAGATTCTTGTGGCTGCCCCAATCTCCATCCATTTATGATTCAATTCATTGTACTTGAATATGTTTATACTTCCTGAAGGTTTAAAAAGTTTCTGATTTAAGCCGGGCTCGGTGGCTCAGCCTGTAATCCTGCGCCTTTGGGAGGCTGAGGTGAGTGGATTACCTGAGCCCGCGGGTTCGAGACCCGCCTGGGCAGCGAGACCTCATCTCTACAACAAATCAAAACATCAGCCCGGTGTGGTAGCGCATGCCTATAATTCCGGCTACTCGGAAGGCTGAGGTGGAAGGATCGCCAAAGCCCAGCAGGTCGAGGCTGCGGTGGCCGGGAGCGGCCACTGCACTCCAGTCTGGGCGACAGAGTGAGACTCCAACTCAAAAAAACAAAAACAAAAACAAAAGTTTCTGACTTAGAATTGTGTTGGTAGCCAAAGGATCTTGGGTCATATATAAAAGACAGCCATAACAGTTCCAGTATGCATCATGCTTAGAGAAGAGAACAGCTCCCAAATCATTTCTTACCTCGGGTCCTTAGAAGGTTGTCCGAGGAAGATTAGCAGTGAATTCCAAGAAAAAGGAGACCCCGTTTAGGGACTGAATGAGAGTTCTCTAGAACACAGAGAAGAATTGGACATGTTGATTTATTTATTCACTGACTTATTCAGAAAGAATTTTTTCTTCCTAAGGTGAAAATTAAATTGATCTCACTCTGAACCGATGTTTGCATTCAGTGATGATATGACGGATACTGAAAATACTGATTCTTGCAAAAAATAAAATCGACATACTTTGAGATAACATGTTGTGAAACATGTTTCTTTACAGTCATGTAAAGTGATTTGTGAAACAGGAGACTGCAGACAACAAGAATTCAAGGATCGGTCTGGGAACTGTGTTCTCTGCAACCAGTGTGGGCCAGGCATGGAGTTATCTAAGGTACGTGATGGACTCCTCATCAAACTGCGTACCTGTGTTGGTAAAATGCATTCCTCTCAACTAAATTCTCTTGGTCAATTATTAATGAGGCTTTGGAGACCATGCATGACAGGATTCTTGGTTCATTATGTCACTTTAGCCAAATATTATACAATTCCCTTTCCCGAACTTATGATTTGTGTGTCTTACTGAGATAAATGGGTCATAAAACCCAGAATTCAACAAATGTCATTGTTTTAAATAATTTAGGGTTTGTAGTATTTCATTGAAATAATTGAATTTTAAAGGTTTATTTGCATTAATTAAAAAAGAATCAAAATTCTGCTGAAGGTTTAAAAATAAAGCATTGATAACAAAATGGTAATGCTACCATTTGCTAGGCCTTCTTTTTCTTAAAATGAATGTCCCCATTGCTAGTCAAGAAGTGTGTTAAGTAAAGATGCCCCAAGACAGCAGTTATTTTCCAAATCAGTGTTTTGGACACTTTCGTATTATTATTAATCGCTCAGCAGTGAGTGTCTGTTCCTCCCAGGAGCGCTTTAAAGATACCCGTTTTAACCACTATCTGTTAAGATAAGTGAGTTTACAGCAGGGCATATTTCACAGTCTGGAATGTTCCAGGGGCCTTTCTTTTTTGTGAGCGTGTTCAGAGCTATATATCCATTTGCTTTATTTTCTGACCTTTTGAAGATGTTACTAGTGGTGGAGAATTGATGTATTGTTTTCTTCTAAATAAAACATCAAAGCCTTCCTGTTATAAAAGGAACAATAGATTTTTCTTTTTATTTAAAGGGCTTTTAAAAGAGAAGTCCTTTTTTCCCTACAGACTGCCATTATTTAAAGTTGAGTCTTGTCATTCTTAGATTTTTGATCAATGATCTACAAACAGCAGGAAACAAAGAATTATGCATTCTACAAGCAGTTCCTGGTAGATGGCTTTTCTCTTTGGTTATTGTGTTGAGTGAGTGGTGGTCTTCAGTGTCCTGAGTTTAGGACTGAAGCTGACTGATCTTTGAGCTCTGCAGGATATCTAGTTAACTGTAGCATCTCAACAGGTATTTTACAATCCCTGTTGATGATAGACCGGGTATTTTCAGACGTAGGTTTTGCTATGTTGGGAGTAAAAGATGTATTTGTAGCAGATTTCTGTATTTAAGATCAGTGAACAAAGTAACTAAAAATGCCATCATGCCCAAGAGGAAAACAGTTGATGAAATTTCTAATCCTCGAAAGTTCTTTCCCCAAATCTCTGTAAAATTCTAAATGACACTTCACAGATTCTAAGAGATGACAAATCATTTCTAAGAAACTGCTCTCTTGCCCTCATCCTTTAAATCTAAAGAGTAGAACCTTAGACTAATTTCTGAAGATTCAGACCAGAAGATGAAGGTTCTATTAGCCTTAATATTTTTTAATTAAAAAAAGTAATTCCAGTTTCTGGTGCCACTCCATCCTAATAACAAGTGAAAAACTAAACAAGCTGAAAATCAGCAGCTCTTCTTACATCTGTAAGAGAGGTGAAGCCACAGGGGAAAGTGCTTTTCCCAAAATGGGAGAGACAGGCAGATACCGAGAGTTGTAGGATGCGGCAGTCATAACCTCCTCAGGAGCCAGTACCGGGTGAGGGAAACCTGCACTGTAACTGACAGGAGACTGGAGCCCAGCTATGGAGTCGACTGAGGGCCAAAAACTCCAGGAGGACCCAGTCAGAGAGCACCCCCTGCTTTTGTGAGTTTTATCTCAGGAGCTCAACCAGATCCTCACAGTAAATATCAGAGAAAAACCCCCTCGTTCTTCCAACAGGAGCAGGGGGAAAGAAACATTTTTAAATATGCTAGAGCACTCTGTTTTTTGAACAAGGACTGCCCTCAGGAGAAACTGGCCAACCAGAGCCTAACTTTATCAGAGCCTAACCTAACTGACCTGGAGGCAGGGAGGTCCCCAGCTCCCAAGCAACTCTAACCATCATTTCCCACTTAAGGGAAAAACAAACAACCAAACTGAGAAACACCTGTGAAGTTCACAATCCAGAGGCCCAGGCTCATGAAAAGACTGAGTCCTAATCATCAGATTTAAGAACGCTTCCCTGCCCCTTTGCCTTACCACCCACCACTAAAGGTCTGTTTACAGCCCCTCCTTCTACCCGGTACATCATGTTTGACCTTCAGCAAAAAATCACAAGGCATCCTACAAGGCAAAACTCACAGTCTGAAGAGAGTGAGCAGGCATCAGAACCAGTTGTGACAGGGATGTTGGAATTGTAAGATGGAGAATTGAAAACAACTGCAATTAATACATGTGCTCCAGGTGCTCATGGATAAAGTAGACGGCATGCAAAAACAGATGAGCAATGTAAGCAGAGAGATGAAAATCCTAGGAGGGAGTCAAAGATTGCTGCACATAAAAAGACACAGTAACAGAAAAGAAGGATGCCTGTGAAGGGCTCCTTAGTAAGCTGGACATGGTTGAGGGGAGAATCTCTGAGCTTGAGGTTGTATCAGTAGAAACCTCCAAAACTGAAAACCAAAGAGAACAAAGACTGAAGAAAACAGAATATTCGAGAATTGCGGGACAACTACAGAAGGTGTAATATGCATAATGGGAGTACTGGAAGGAAAAGAAAAAGAAAAAGGAATAGAAGACATATCTGAAACAATAATGACTTAGAATTTCCCCGGAATTAATGTCAGACACCAAACCACAGATCCAGGAAGCTCAGAGAGCACCAACAAAGTGAATGCCCCAAAAAACTAAGCTAGTCATATCATTTCCAAACTGCAGAAAAGCAAAGATACATTAAAAATCCTGAAAGAAGCCAGAGGGAATAAACACTTTACCTACAGAGGAGCAAATTAATATGACTAAAAATCTTCATATGATTGATCAGTATGAGATCTGCCTTCTTAGAAGTCATGCAAGCGAGAACAGAATGGAGTGGAATTTTTAAAGTGTTGAAACGAAAAAATCACTGACCTAAAATTTTATGCCCTGAAAAATGATCCATCAAAAGTTAAGGGAAAGAAAAATTTTCTCAAGCAAAAATTGAGGGACCTACCTTGCAAGAAATGTTAAAAGAAGTTCTTTAGATAGAAGGTGGTCTTCCTTAAGGAAGACCAGAGAATGAATAAGTGAAAGTAAAATAAAAGCTTTTATTTTCTTATTCTTATTTGGTCTCACCAAGATTAGTTTGTTCAAAACAATAGCAGCAACAATGCAGTATGCTATGTGGACATGCATATAGATATAGATATATGCCGATACATAAGTGAGATGATACAAGGAGGGAGGAGTTAAAATCATTTGATTATTCTAAGGTCCTCCCACTACCTATGAAGTAGCACAGTGTCATTTGAGAGTAGGCTTGCACTAGTTATACATGTATCATGCAATTTCTAGAACAACCACTAAAAGAGGGAAAAAATAGATATATCTGATTTGCTGAGAAAGGAGAGAAAATGGATTTATATAAAATACTCAGTTAAAACCACAAAAGGAAAAACACGGAAGGCAAAAGTAGGAATAAAGAGAAAGGGTAACCAATAGAAAGCAGTAATAAATATGGTAGATATTAACCAATTATATCAACAATTACTTTGAACAGCAGTAGTGTAAGTGTACCTATTAAAAGACAGAGACTGTTGGACTGGGTCAATAAATAAGCCCCATCTTATGAGATCTCTTAGAAACCCACTTTAAATTTTAAGACACATGTAGATTAAAAGTCAGTGGATGGAGAAAGATATACCATGCTACCACGAATCGTACAAGAATGGGAGTAGCTATATTAATTTCAGGCACAGCAGATAAGCATAAACATTGTTCACAATAGCAAGAACATGGAACCAACCGTCAAAAGAAAAGCTGCCTATCAAAAGAGAACTGGATAAAAAAATGTGGTACATATACACAGTGGAATATTACACAGCCATAAAGAAGAACAAAATCATGAACTTCACAGCAACCTGGATGGACTTAGAGTCTCTAATACTGAGTGATCTTTCACAGAAACAAAGAACTGAGTATCGCATGTTGTCACTCATAAACAGACCTTGAACAGCTATCATAATACTATAAGAAAAAGATTGGCAGTAGTAGGAAACTGCGGGGGGGGGGGGCATGGGAAGGTAGAATTGGCAGTAGTGGGAATCTGCCTGGGGAAGGGTGGGTAGACCTTAACAAGGGTACCTGCATAATGAGCATTTGTATTCCTAATCCTGAATTGTACCCCACATCTTTAAAATAAGAAAATTAAAAGTTAAAAATAAATAAATAAATAAAGATAAGCATAGTAATAAAGGACACAGTTCTCCAAGAAGATACAACCGTCCTTAACATGTGTGCTCTGGCAACAGAGCATCAAATTGTGGTAGGTGAAGACTGATAGAACTCCAAGGAGACACAGAGAAATCCACTTTTATAACTGGAGACTTCAGCACCTTCTATCAGAAATGGACAGATCTAGCAGGCAGAATGTCAGAAAGGGCAGAGTTGAACTCAACACACACCCATCCATTGGAGATTATCGACACTTTTAGACTACTTCATTCAGCAAGAGCAGAATACACATTCTTCTGAAGTTCACATAGAAAGTTCACCAAGCTAGACCACCTTTGAAGCCACAAAAACACACACCTTAGCAAAATTAAAAGCATACAAATCATACAATGTCTTCTCTCAAATCACAGTGGAATAGAACTAGAAATCCATAACAGAAAGATAGCTGGAAAATCCCCATATATTTGGATATTAAACAATATACTTCTAAATAGCATGTGGGTCAAAGCAGATATTGCAAGAGAACTTTAAAAATATCTTGAACTAAATGAAAACAGAACTTATCAAAACGTGTGGAATGCACAAAGCTGGGCTCAAAGGGACATTAATAGCACTGAGTGCACATATTGGAAAAGAAGTCTACAGGCATAAGCAGCTAGAAAAAGAAGAGGACATGAAATCCAAAGTAAGCCAAATAAATAAAAATTAGAGCAGAAATCAATGAA